GAAATTATCATTACTTAATAGTTAGCAATGACAGAATCAAACTATGAGAAAAGTTTGGCACATCTGCCCCAGCTTTTATCATAGAGAAAGTGTGGTGGTTTGAATAGGAATGGCCCTACAGGCTTCTATGAATGCAGGCTCATCAGGGAGCGGCACTACTTGAGAAGAATTAGGAGGTGTGACCTTGTTGAAGGAAGTACGTCATGGGAGGTGGGCTTCAAGATTTCAAAAGCCAAAACCAGAAGCCTAGTGGCTTTCTCTTCCTTCTGCCTGTGGATCCAGATCCAGATACTCCTCCAGCACCGTGTCTGTTTTCATGATGCCATGGTCCCCACCATGATGGTAATGGACTAAACCACCTCATGGTAATTAGCTCACTCAGACATTTCCCCAGACCCTCTGGGTTAAGGGTTGTTTTTGTTGTCATTGCTCCATTTTGTTGGCAGGGCTAGGATCTCATGCAGGGCCTTGAGCTCTCCAAACAGGTCACTCACACTGAGTGACATCTCCAATCTTGGGTTAGCCTTGGTATGACATGCCAACAACAAACCAATAAGTATGATGGGATCTTCTTTGGCAGACCACATGGAGGCTCCTTCCCTCCGTCCCTGCTGCTTTTCCATAGCATGTGGCATGTGTGTTATGTCTGGTTCTTTCTCAATGCCCCACACCACTAACCCTAAGAGTCCCTACTCTTGGGTTTTCCCTCTCAGCCAGAATTCACTGCAGAGTCATCAGTATTCCAAGAGAACTTTGCTTTCTTTCTCTTCCCTCCCCTCCATCCTTTTAATACTCTAGTTCAGGCAATTAGCACTACAAATATTAGCTGCAATCAAGGTCTAGCACATGTGGTAATTTTCCCTCTAATAAATCAATCAATTCTTTCTATGAAGTGTTTTTCCCCCTTACAGTCATTAGAGAATTACAATGCGACTTGACTATCACCAGCAACTTGAATTAGTCAAGGAATGTCAATCAATCTTGGGAGAGTTTCCTTTAATGATGAGAAAAATAGGATAGATTTACAAAGGCCTCCTGTCTTAGAATAGTATGTTTCTCAGACCCTTGTTGAAGAAGTCCTAGACCATATGAGCCATATGGAAGAAAACAGAAATCAATACTACCAATGATAAGTCAGATAAAAATGCAGAACAAAATTAATTTGATGATTGCATTAATCAACAAATTAATAATTGTAACAGCTATCCATGCAGGGCACCTAGGTAGCGTGATATGCTTCTATAGATAACCGGTTAGGACAGGAAAGAAGGAAGTTAAATAAGCAAGAGGACACATTTTAGCCCCAGAGAGAATTAACATCCACTGTGTTCTTTCCAAAGCTGGAGTGGGGCACTCGGGGGAGTGTGCAGTATAAGGCTGAGACAGAGGCTTCCTTCATCGCCACCCGTACAGCCTAGCATCTCCCTCTTCATCGCTATTTCATGCAAGGGAACATAGTTTTCCTGCTTAGAAATCATGTGAGCACCACCAGTGTGGACCTGGTCACCATGTTCATAAATCTACAAAATGAATGTCAGAGAAAATTATCAGTTTAACGAGGAACCCAAAGTCTTTCTTCTACAACCAAGGCTACCCTGTGCCTTACACTCTAGGTGTAGTTGAGTGATGAGGAGCAAACATAGTGAGTATTTGATCCTTGTTTTCTTGTCTTCCCTTCTTTCTTTCTCTCTTCTCTCACTCTGTCTCCTCTCTTTCCCTCTTTTCTCTCTCCCCCTCTCTCCAAATGGTAATAATAATAAGAATTCAGCTGAATTATCAAGAAAAGAAACATGAATGTTTGTATTGGAAGTAAAAATGGCCTACACCTGTGTCCCTTCCTCTCTGGTTCTCCAGTCATTCTGAAAAAATTCTATGATTATCCGGGCCCTGCCAAGGGTCACGGGGGGAGAGGGCTAGGCCTGGTTCCATTTCCTTAATGTCACCAAATGTTAAGATGAAAAGAAGAGAAGGCTCCAGTGGGATTCTTGGTGAAAACTTGCTGACATTAATGACTCAAATTCTCAGAGAGACTGTAAGGAAGACGGTGTCATCGCTGTCATTCAAGCCATTTAAGACGAAACTTCCAAAGAAGGCTGTCAGCATAATGACTGCCAGGTTCCATTATATCATCCTCAGAGGGCGGATCACACACTACTATGCAGTCTGTGGGTGGCTGACATTCAAGTCTGAAAGGAAGCTGCACAGGGAAGAGGTGAGGTGGGTGTGGGTCCCGAGGGGAGCTGCCTCGCATGACCAGGACCCATCACTACTGCAATACACTATACAGAGAGTAACTAGGGGTAGCTGCATCTCACCCTACTTATGGGGACAGTTAGAGGAAGCCATACACACGGTGCTGAAGGAATCTGGGGAGGCTGGAGCGATACCTCTCAGCGCCTGCTCACTAATTTATCACAACAGTATCCCTCCCTAGCAACCAGGATGAGGACAGCCCTGAGAAGCCTGGCTGACGATCACAGGCAAGTTATGCAGGGACTGAATGAGGGCAGTAGCGTGCAGCCTTGACTGCGCATCACAATCATCGGGCGATTCAGAGCTAAGGCCACACGAAAACCAAATACGCTGAGCCTTAGCTGAGGGGCAGACACAGTGCTCTGCAAGGGATTCCATCGGACAGGCAAACCGAGCACCCCTTAATTGGAACGAAGGCTGACTTCAGGTGAGTATCTACATGTGTTCAGGAGAGACAAACATTTTTACTGTTGCTGTTTACTAAAGAGAGGAAATTGTGTGTGGTAGGAAGGATGTGATTTTCTATGTCTCTACAAACAGGGTGTTCTTCGCGGTAGACGGAGGCAATCCTAAAAGGTTAAATAACCAGATTGCTTCCTCTGTCCTTGGGCAGAGTCTTCCATGTTGGTATACTTTAGACACCTTTGGCAGGTTTTTTGCTAATTTAACCACAGTCCTATGCTAACTGCTTGGCTCCTTCCTTCCACATTCTTCCTAAGGAAGTATTAATACGATTGATTAGGTTGAAACTTCTTTTCCCAGGCTTAGGGGTATTCTGGTTTTTTGTTTGCTTGTCCCCCCCTCCTCAGTTACCAAATATGTTGATCAAATAAGATGGATTATATCTAGACACTCTCAAACTAATCTTTCCGGGATGTGTAGGGCACACATCCCCAAGTAACTGCCACCTGGCATCAGTGTGTTCCCCTCGTTTGGCTATGACGACTGAATCCAGTAGAGAATTCACTGGAAAGCCCCATTATCTGAAAGGAGTTTTTTTGGTATGTGTCAAATTACATACAAGACAAGGCCTTAATTATATTTTAAAACCTGGTTTTGAGTGCCCATGTGGATTTGATAGGCCAGTTCTTCTGCTTAGAATAGCATACCAACTATAGAACTGTGCTAGCACCTTCAGGAACTTGTTCAGCCTGTCTGGCCTCAATTTCTCTGTCTGTATAATAGAATAATATTATTAGCAGCAGCACACTCTCATTTTAATACTTGTAAGCGTTAAAAACACTACGTTGATGAAATGCTTAGAAGAAAGAGAGTCACGCTGGTACCAAAAATAAGAGCCCAGCATAGCATGATATATTGACTCCACAACAATCTCTCTTTCTTGCAGAGAGAGAGAGAGAGAGAGAGAGAGAGAGAGAGAGAGACTATTATATTTGATTCCCCCCCCACACACACACACTCCCCGTGCCAGGAACCTCACTAGGCACCGGGAGCTAAGAAGTCACTGGTGATCCTGCCAGAAGAAGTGGTGAACGGACAGACACTTAAAAGAAATCCCATACTAGCTCAGAACTGTGAGATAGATAATTATTTAGGGGTAAACTCACAAATCAGGATTCTCTGCTTGAACAATGGATGGAGATTAAATCCAAACAATGTTCAGGAGCAATTGGCGAAAAAGAGCAAGGGGAGGAGAAAAGGGGGCAGAGGCGGGTTCTGCGTCAGCGTACATAGTATAAGAGGCCACGCCCCAGTAGGCCAGTAATCACAAGCCGCAGATCTCCCTACAGCACTGTACACTGGAGCTTTCAAGTCCGAATTCCTAAATCAAATACACTTTGCTACTTGATATTGTTCAGCCATGTCTCTCGTCTCTCGGATGGTTATTTCTCTGGGAGACCAGCTGATCGCGGTGGATCTGTCTGACTACAGCACTGTTTTCTATGTCAGGGCTCTCTCCTCTTTGGAGATTCTGCAGCTCCTTGGACCCACAGCCATGCGCCCTTGCTGTCCTACTAATAGAGCCAAATGCTTTAAAAGAAAGCATTTATAAATGTACTCTTGCAACTGCATCTCCTTGTTTCTCTGCGTCAAGAAGAATTTGAACCACGTTTTCTCTAAGTAGATCCCATGGAAAATGTGGGTCTGGAAGAACTGGGGTGAGGAGGACAAAGCCTGGGTAGTTCTGGGATCTTGTGTCTACACCAGACCCAACGCCGTGCCATGTTTCATCTGACTAAAATTAAACATTTTCAAAATCAATTGATTACTATTATGTATGCCAGCGCTCCCATTCTCCCACTGCTAAGAGCAAACAAAACCCAGAATTAGTCTCGGCGATACGTGAATGTCTCAGGTTCCTGCAAACTTAGCCCTAGGAGCCAAGCATGTTTCTGTAGGCTTCAGCTCAGCCAATCAGATAACAGACTGAGGAAGGGAGGCTTCTCTCAAGTTACCCAGAGGACTCCATCTGTTACCCTAGACCTTGCTTAGCAAGTGGCGCGACAGGGGATCTTGAAGGCACTTTGAAAGAGTTTTTGTTCTACAGATTCTTAACCCAAAGATTTCTATTTGAAGAGAAGCAGAAGAGGAGCAAAGCCCACAGTGGGTGAGGAAGGACGGTTGGTGGACGGGCATTCCGCCTGGTGGAGCCGCTGCGAGGAAGGACATTGCTTTCCCAGCTAGTCCCTTCAGCCCGTGTCATAAATGCGGAAGGGGCGGTTCCTTCTTGATGCTCACAAAGGTCTTGGCTTTGCACTGCATCCTCACCAAAGCCGTTTCTCGTGATGCCGAACCAGCAGAAGAAAATCATCTTTTGTATGGCCGGTGTGCTGAGCTTTCTCTGTGCTCTCGGAGTCGTGACAGCAGTGGGGACCCCACTGTGGATTAAAGCCACTATCCTCTGCAAAACGGGGGCTCTGCTTGTCAATGCCTCAGGGGAGGAGCTGACCAAGTTCATGGGCGAGATGCAATATGGGCTTTTCCACGGAGAAGGCATAAGGCAATGTGGGTTAGGAGCAAGGCCTTTCCGGTTCTCATGTGAGTAACAGTTGCGCCTGAATTATTCAATGCTTTCTGCTCTTGCAAAGACGTGTAGAGGCTCTTGCTCTGGCTATTGCAGGACTATTCAAGCCACCATGGGCCATTTGAAATACCTAAGGCTCTAAGCAACTTCTTCTCCCTTGATTCTTACTTTGTTTTTTTTTATTCTTATTAAGTTTTCATTCTTGCTATTTTTATTATGGTCACAAATAATTGGTTATTACGAAGTAAAGCTTTTTGAAAGCATAACCTTTTAAAAGGGCTGACAGGATGACTCAGCATTAAGGTATATGATGCCAAGATGATTGGTCTGAGTTCTATCCTTGGCACCTGCATGATGGGAACAGAAAACCAAGCTCCCCAAGTCAGCCTCTGCCCTCCATGCGCACCATGGACCACGGCGCTCTCACTCTCATCTATCTATCTATCTATCTATCTATCTATCTATCTATCTTCTATCTATCTATCTATCTATCATCTATCTATAATCTATCATCTATCTATCATCTATCTATCTATCTATCATCTATCTATCTACCATCTACCATCTATCTATCATCTATCTATCATCTATCTATCATCTATCTATCTATCTATCATCTATCTATCTATCTACCATCTACCATCTATCTACCATCTATCTATCATCTATCTATCTATCATCTATCATCTATCTATCATCTATCATCTATCTATCTATCATCTATCTATCATCTATCTATCATCTATCATCTATCTATCTATCTATATCTATCTATCATCTATCTACCTAGTCGATCTCTTTGAAAATTGAAGTCTAACCCTTAAGATTCCCAAGTATTACTAATTATGCAAGACAGCGTAGCATCTATGTTAGATACAAAGGGTGCTTGAGGAAATGGGACCCCTGTAAAGGAACAACCTTCGTGCCTTTTGTCCTTTAAAAAAGGCCCCGTTTTCTTGCTTTTCCCTTTCCCCGTGACTTTGCTCCTTGCCCTGCCTGGCACCGCTAAAACCCTTGCTGTCGAGAATTATTCTCTTTCCATCTTTATCCAATTTGGAATTACTTGGCTACAAACGTTTTCAAACGACCCGACGCGATAACTGTCATAAATGCGTGCCAAGTGAAGAGAAACCGGCAGCGGGTTGACCTTCAACTCAGGTAGGGAACAGGAGAGATGGTCTATCGCGATTTTGGCCAAATGGAAGTGTTAGCCACGGCATTTGTAACATGTTTATCTCGAGAAGTTTTAAGGAATTGCCATGAGAATGGGCAGCTCATTAAATGAAAATTAATAAGCAGTCCTTTGCTGTATCTCTCGCTACACACATCCAGAAGTTGTTATTATTTCAAAGGGCTGGTTCAGAGCAATCTTAGGAAGACACAGTCAGTAAATTACTCTTCAGGAAAGGGGCTCCCAGCTGAGGCATTTAAGATGAATTATTATTTTTGCCTGAGCTTCTTTTCTCCTCCAGTATAGGCAGAAGGTGAAATTAATTGAATTTATTATTAACATATGCAGTGTCTAATTAAATTTCAGCCCTGGCCCATTTATATTTCTGCAACACTCCGTGTATCTTGTAAGCAGCCACTTGGCACCGACCCCCAGCCCACATAGGCTAACGAGTGACAGGAATTTTCATAGGGCCCCAGAAAATCCCCTGAGGATTAGTCTTCCGCTTTTCCAGAAATTATCAGCGGCTGGATTTGATGAAGTGGATACAGCTACTTTTCTTCGAACGTCTTTAGTTCATTAAGATACCTGGGCTGTGAGGGTTACGTACCTTGGAGGCGGGGGTCGGAGGGCGAACAAAGCCCAATACTGTGTGATTTGCAACTGTATTAAAAAATAAATAAAAGGAAAATAGATGAGTGAGATGATTTCAGCGTGAGTCACCGGCAACTACGGGCTGAATAAAGCTTCTCACAAAGGAAGTCAGACAAAAGCGGGAAATGACGGGGAATGATCCCGGAGGCCTTGTGTTTCTGACAGTGAAGGAGGGGTAAACGTGACTTCTGCCGCAGCCTGTGTTTCAAAACAATAGCACGCTGTTTTCTTAGCACGTGCTGCATCCGAGGTACTCCATATGTTTTGCCTTGCTTTCCTTCGGGACCCACAGTTGTATGTGTTCTCCTTATGGTCCAGGGTCTACTTTTCCTAGCTATCTATTGCGGTGGCCTTACCTGGGAATTTATTCTAATCAAGTCCTCTAGGAGGACTAGCAAAGCCCAGCAGGGTTTCTGCTATACCAAAGCCATCTCACAAATCCCTTTGATCTCCTGGCTGGCCTGTACATTTCTCCCCAGCATGGTGAAGAAACGCTTACATTTTTGCTTTCTCTGTGATGACAGCCCTTTCTATACTCTACGATATACATATTAAGTAAACACAAATAATACAGGGAAACACACGTTAAAACTTCATTTATTTTGGTGAATTCCAGAGAAAGAGACAGATGATGTCTTGTCTTTTCTGCCTAAGCAATAAATAAATAAAATTGAAATCTATTTCAGTATAAGAAGGAATAGTAGGAAAGCTGTACAATAAATAATCTGCATGGAATTCTCAAAAAAGCACACTGTCGGGGCTGGAGAGATGGCTCAGAGGTTAAGAGCATTGCCTGCTCTTCCAAAGGTCCTGAGTTCAATTCCCAGCAACCACATGGTGGCTCACAACAATTTCTAATGGGGTCTGGTGCCCTCTTCTGGCCTTCAGGCATACACACAGACAGAATATTATATACATAATAAATAAATAAATAAATAATTTTTTAAAAACACACTGTTAATACACTTAAACACACATCCCTCTGAGTGTTGACACTCCCTGTGAACATGCTTTTGAAACACTCAGCACTTCCGAAGTTCACACTCCCACCCCCATCACGGTGTAGCGTATGGGTCATGTGGTCTCATTCAAGATGCCCTCTGTACCCAGACAAGAGTGTTTCATCAACTTGCTTCTAAGAAGAGAGCCTTCTGATAGGTGCTCTCGAAGGTTAAGTGGAAATCCTGCTACTATAAAACAGTAAGTGGTTTCACCCTGGCATCTCAGCAGAAGCTCCCGTTGAGCAGAGCTGGTGGCCTCCAGAGCCTGCAGAGATGTGACTCTGTCCCCATTTCTACAGTCAAAATAAAAATCTGAACACAACCATTCCCATAGTGTCCCCTCTGCTTCTCAGCGCTCCTTTAGAAAGTTACCAAGCAGATATTGGGATTTAGAGCAGCACTCCTGTAGAGGAGGTATGGAAACAACTTATCAAAGTATCAATCACTTTGCGGCTAGTTGTCAGGTGCTATAGATTCCTACTTCAATTCTTTTGGATTTATACCTGCATTCTGCTTGTCTAGACTTTTTCTTGTGCTGGGGATTGAACTCTAGGCCTTGCACAAGGTCGGCAAATACTATACCACTGAGCCTCAGTCTTGACTTTTTGCTTAGATCATCATTGACCGATAGAGTGACAACATAAGCCCTGCTAGCCACATTAAAACATAAAAGAAAAAAAAAGGTGAGAATCACTTAATAATCTTCTTTAACTAGGGTATCCAGAATACTATTGTGTAAACAGATAATCCATATAAAAATCATTGAAATGTTTTATATCTTTCTACTTCTTTTGTACAGCCGAATCCTAGTGGATGTTTACATAGCACACCTAATTAGGACTGGCCACATTTCAAGTGCCTGTTTTAATGCTGCTTCATTGTACAGCATAGATTCAGACGGCGATTTACTCTGAATAAATATTGACAATGTCGATATTTTAAATGACCTTTTGCTTGGCTCTGCTGGACAAGTCTATGTGTGTGGCTTTTCTGTGCAATGCTGGTGTCACTTTCAAAGCCTCTACATCTGGTGTAAGATGAGAATGAAGAATGACGAAGCAGAGGAGTGTGGCAGCGCAGTGATGTTTGTTTCTATTAGGTGTTCCCTACCGACCATGCTATCTCGTCTCATCATACTAAGAATCTGCCCTGTTAGCATGCAACGTTATGCTGGGAAAACTTCTGCCTCATTTACTCAGGCTGATTCTCATCTATCTATGGGTCAGTGGTTCATTTACTAGAGGTCACTAGCATTCCTGCCCAGACCATGATTTCATTCATTATAATGAGAAAATGTTTGCCTTTGAAGGCAACACAACTGCTTGATACGGTGCTTCATCTTATGTCACCTGTAAAATTTTAATGATAATGTTTGAATGCCAAGTGCAGCCGTCAAAACAGATACTGCCAGTTTTGAGCTCTCTCCCTCCCTTCCTCTCTCTCTCTCTCTCTCTCTCTCTCTCTCTCTCTCTCTCTCCTGCATGTGTGCATGTGTTCTGTTTTGTTGGTTTGAAACACTACAGAACATTATCAAAATATGATATTCAAGAATCATATGGTATCAGTCATTCCTAGATATATACTGATCTACTCATTGCCAACACAGTTCAATGAGCTGGTAAAAGCATATGGAGTTCTTTTTTTTTTCTGATATGTAAAAAATAGAATTTAACAATCATGCATCCCAGCTTCCAACTTTAGTCATACTTCAAAAATATTTTAATTTGGGCTCTGTGATTGAAAATTTGTAAAAGCCTTGACAGAGACAGTGTACTTCATATCTTAGAGAAGCAGAGATCCTGTTCCAAATAAGGGATGTGACCCAGATTACAGCAGAGATCCTACACCAAAGGGATGTGACCCAGATTACAGCAGAGATCCTACACCCAGATTGCAGGGTGTATACTTAAACTACCCCTGTGAACAAGAAGGTAGCTTCTTGAACATATCATGGCATAGAATAGTTGAGAATTGGGGGTCTTTGTGACCATGATGAGAACTGGCACTCTATCCCTTACAAATGTGTCTCTTGTCTTTAGCTGGTTCATCCCATGCTTCCTACAGCTTTCCAATGTCTTTCCTGGAAGAGCTGGAGGTTTAAATGTCCCACTAATGAAACCTTGCCCTGTCCCCTTCCTCTGCACATGGGATGTATGAGGAGATAAATCTGTGAAAGAAGCCTGTGTGGCTTG